GGGTTAAAACAATTAAGTTTGTTAAAGTGTCCATACTTTCCAAAATTCAATACAATCCTTATCAAAATACCAATGGCATTTTCCACAGGATTAGAACAAATAATTTTAAATTTGCATGGAAACACAAAATACCCCAAATGATCAAAACAATATTGAGAAAGAAGAACACAACTGGAAAAATCAGGCTCCCTGACTTTGGACTATGCTATAAAGCTAGTCATAAAAATAGTATAATACTCACACAAAAACAGAAATATAGATCAATGGAGCAGGATAGAAATCCCAGAAATAAACCCATGCACCTATGGTCAATTAATCTATGACAAAGTAGGCAAGAATATACAATGGAAAAAAAGATAGCCTCTTTGATAAGTCATGCTGGGAAAACTTGACCACGACATGTTAAAGAATGAACTTAGAATGTTTTCTAACACCATATACAAAAGTAAACTCAAAATGGATTAAAGAACTAAATATAAGACTGGAAACCATAAAACTCATAACATAAATCATAGCAATATTTTTGGATCTGTCCCCTAAAGCAAAGGAAATAAAAGCAGAAATAAAACAAATACGACCTAATTAAACTTAAAAGATTTTGCACAGCAAAGAAAACTACAGCCAAAACAAAAAGCCAACCTACTGAATGGAAGAAAATATGTGCAAATAATATACCTCAGATATGCAGATGACACCACTCTTATGGCAGAAAGCAAAGAGGAACTAAACAGCCACTTGATGAAGGTGAAAGAGGAAAGTGAAAAAGCTGGTTTAAAACTCACATCTAAAAACGAAGATCATGGCATCAGGTCCCATCCCACTTCATGGCAAATAGATGGGGAAACAATGGAAACAGTGACAGACTTTATTTTGGGGGCTCCAAAATCACTGTGGATGGTGACTGCAGCCATGAAATTAAAAGACGCTTGCTCCTTGGAAGAAAAGTATGACAAACCTAGATAGGGTATTAAAAAGCAGAGACCACTTTGCCGACAAAGGTCCTCTAGTCAAAACTATGGTTTTTCCAGTCGTCGTGTACAGATGTGAGAGCTGGACCATAAAGAAAGCTGAGCACTAAAAAATTGATGTTTTCAAACTGTGGTGCTGGAGAAGACTCTTTAGAGTCCTTTGGTCTGCAAGGAAATCAAACCAGTCAATCCTAAAGGAAATCAACACTGAATATTCATTGGAAAGACTGATGCTGAAGCTGAAGTTCCAATAACTTGGCCACCTGATGCAAAGAACTGACTCATTGGAAAAGACCCTGACGCTGGGAAAGATTAAGGGCAGGAGGAGAAGAGGGTGACAGAGGATGAGATGGTTGGATGGCATCACCGACTCAATGCACATGAGTTTGAGCAAATTTCAGGAGACAGTGAAGGACAGGGAAGCCTGGGGTGCAGCAGTCCGTAGAGTCACAGAGAGTCGGACACAACTAAGTGACTGAACAATGACCGATAAGCAGTTAATATCCAACATATATAAACAGTTCTTACAACTCAACATCAGAAAAACAAACCCAATTTTAAAATAGGCAGAAGAACTGAATAGACTTTTTCCCAAAGAGGAAATACAGATGTACAAAAGGCACATGAAAAGATTCTCAACATCACTAATCATTAGGGAAGTTCAAATCATACTTGTATGATATCATCTCATACTTGTTGGAATTATCATCATCAAAAAGAACACTAATAACAGATGCTGGCATGGATGTGGACAAAAGGTAACCCATGTACAGTGTTGGTGGGAATGTAAATTGGTGCAGAAGTTATGAAAAACAATATGGAAGTTTCTCAAAAAACTAAAAACAGAACTACCATGCATGCATACTCAGTCATGTGTCATGCCCTACTCTTTGTGACCCTGTGGATTATAGCCTGCCAGGCTCCTCAGTCCATGGGATGCTCTAAGCAGGAATATTGGAGTGAGTTGTCATGCTTCCTCCAGGGGATCTTCCCAACCCAGGGCTTGAACCCTCGTCTCCTGCATTGCAGGTGAATTCTTTACTGCTGAGCCACTGAAGAAGCCCCAGAACTACAATATGACCCAGCAAGTTCTCTCTTAGATATATATCCAAAAGAACAAAAACACTAATTCAAAAAGATACATGTACAACGTTTATAGGAGCATTATTTGCAAATGCCAAGATATGGAAGCAACATAAGCATTCATCAAGAGAATGGATAAAGAAAATGTGGTGCATGCATATCATGGTATACTACTCAGTCATAAAAGAATGAAATGTTGCCAACTGCAGCAACTGGATGGCATTTGGAGGGTACTATGCTAAGTTAATTAAGTCAGACAGAGAAAGACAAATACTGTATGATATGACTTATATGTGGAATCTAAAAAAGCACAACAAACTAGTGACTATAACAAAAAAGAATCAGATTCACATGTACAGAGGACAAATTAGTGGTTACCAGTGAGGAGAGAGAAGTGAAGAGGGACATTATAGGGGTAGGGGATTAAGAAGTAAAAACGATTATGTATAAAAAAGCTATAAGGATATAGTGCACAGTACAGAGAATATAGCTAATAATAATAACTATGAATGGAGTATAAATTTTAAAAATTGTGAATCACTATATTGTACACCTGTAACTAGTATAATATGCTTCCCAGGTGGCGCTAGTGGTAAAGAACCCACCTGCCAATGCAGGTGACATAAGAGATGTGGATTCAATCCCGGGGTCAGGAAGATCCCATGGAGGAGGGCATGGCAACCCACTGCATTATTCTAGCCTGGAGAATCCCATGGACAGAGGGGTCTGGCAGGCTACAGTCCATACGGTCACAAAGAGTCAGACATAAATGAAGTGACTTAGCATGCAGCATGCACAATTTGTATAATATTATACATCAACCATACTTCAATTTAAAAAACTAATCCTTTTGCATATTCATGCAGTAGATAGTACAGCTAGGTTTATCAACCTATCAATGCTTATAGGTGATCAAAGCACATTTTATTAATTTTAACTTCAAAAATTTTATTTCACATAAAGCAACAGACACATAAACAGAGAAAATCGTAAAGACAATGATAAGTTTGGCAGAGACTTTAAAAACACTTTTTACAGAGAGATGTTAGTCAAAGGGTACAAATTTCCAGTTATAATAAATTCAGAGGATCTAATGTACAGTATGGTGATTATAATCAATAATACAATACTGTATACTTGAAACTTGCTAGGAGAGTAGATCTTAAACGTTTCCAACCACAAAAAATAAATGGTAGCTGTGTGATGTCATGGACATGTTAGATAACCCTATGGTGGCAATCATTTTGCATATGTAAGTATACCAAATCAACACATTGTACACCTTAAATTCATACAATGATATACATAAACTACACATCAATAAAGTCAGAAAAATTAAAATAATAAAAATGAAATTAAAATGTTTTGCACAATAAATTCCAGATATTGCAATACATCCAAGTATTTCTTTCTGTGGGATAGAGTCTAGTGATTTTCTAATGTGTCCACTGTCAAGAAACTGTAAACAAAATTAAATTCCCAAGTAGTCACACAGAATGATAGACTGGAACATTCAATTTGTCTTTGTCTTTATAATCCGTCTACTATCATCCTTTATTTTAATCTGTTTTTTTTTAACACAGGTATATATGACATCACAAGGTTTTGACACACAAACTGTGCCTCAAATGAGCTCCAAAATTTCTGAAGAATGAAAAACATACTCCCAAAACAAACATGTGTAGCTGAGTCCATGTATGCCTGGGGTGATTACAAAACTGAGTTATCCAAATTAACTTCTATATAGAATCCAATACAAATTAAAAAGAAAGAAGCTAATATTTTCTGATTTAGAGCATAAGTATAGCATGAAGACTCAATACTAAACCACAGCAATTGTTTAGAACTTAGACCAATAAAAGACTTTAGGAGAGAGGAATATTTTATCAATGACATTGTTTAGAATTGTTCTTCCTTGGTGATAACAAAAAGCCAAACCACTTTTAGCCAGTTTTGTTTTCCACTTCTCTGCAAACAGCACATCCTCCTACTGCCTATTCTGAGGCTGGCTGCTCTCCCTGCCATGCCACTGGCATGCTCATGAACTTCAGATAACATTTTTACTGGACCCTCTCTTGTCCATTAGTCTTGATGTCCCTTGACATCTCTCCTTCCCCGGGCATGTAGAAAGCACATCAAAGCCTCTTAGCATGAAGTTTCCCTGTGCAGGAGATGGAAGAAGTGTTGGATAGAACACAGGATCACAAAAATAAAGTGTCAGGAATCTCAGACCTTGAGTGACAATGGAGTGCAAAATGTTGGGGGAACTCTGGATTCTACCCTGCAGAATAATATATATGATGACCTGGATGGAAAATGGATCTTGAATTGAGAGAAAATAGTGATTCTGATTCCTAATACCAGAGGACTCAAAACACAAAAAGAAAACAAGTGTTTGAAAATGGCTTTTTGTGCAAATAATACTAATTACAGTCATTCATGTGAATGAACTGTCATTTTCCCTAATCACCATGCAGCCTATTACCAATAATCTAGACCACCAAATATGTCAGATGGACTCAGTTTAATTGGACAGGGTATACCATCATCACAGTTTATAGCTCATGTAGCCTAACCTACCCTATCTGCCTATAGGTTTAAGAAATTTAATGGAACATTTGCCTCATGAATTTTTTCCCCATAAAGGCTGGATTCTTGGAAGTTTTATGCTTTCCAAGGTTGGGATTCACCATCTTCTGCTTCTGTTTAGGTCTCTCTCCATGGTCATCCATTGCAACTGTGGCCTTTCCATCTTTTGGAATTCAGACTAACCTTGAAAGACAAAATGGCAACTCCACTGTTTCAGCAAGAAATTGTTTCGTGTTATCTCATGGTAATTTGTCAAGAAGGTACCAAAGAAAGAGCTCTGTCCTCTGCAATGCTTATACTATTATCCACCAACTAAAGAGACCATAAACCATCAGTCACTGAGCCATATGGTCAACAGTCATGGGTTCCAAGTTTCCTACAAGTCCAGCTTTCAATACTCTGTCCTTCAGCTCTTGGTTCAGAAAATATAGGTTCTGTACTCAAGGCCTACAACTGTCCAGTGCACATTACCTGACCCCTGATTGTTATTGCTTAGTCACTCAGCCGTGTCTGACTCTTTGCAACTCCATGGACTGCAGCACCCTAGGCTTCCATGTTCTTCATCATCTTCCGGAGTTTGCTCAAACTCATGTCCATCAAGTCAGTGATGCCATCCAACCATCTTGTCCTCTGTCATCCCCTTCTCCTCCTGCCTTCAGTCTTTCCCAGCATCAGGGTCTTTTCCAATGAGTTGGCTCTTTGCATCAGGTGGTCAAAGTATTGGAGCTCCAACTTCAGCATCAGTTCTTCCAATGAATATTCAGGATTGATTTCCTTTAGGATTGACTGGTTTGATCTCCTTGCAGACCAAGGGACTCTCAAGAGACTTCTCCAACACCACAGTTCAAAAGCATCAATTCTTCAGCGTTCAGCCTTCTTTATGGTCCAACTCTCACATCCACACATGACTACTAGAAAAACCATAGCATTGACTAGAGGACCTTTGTTGTAAAGTAATGTCTCTGCTTTTTAATATGCTCTCTTGGTTTGTCATCCTTTTCTTCCAAGGAGCAAGCATCTTTTAATTTCATGGCTGCAGTCACCATCCACAGTGATTTTGGAGCCCAAGAAAATAAAGGACTGATACCTGAGACTGAATGAAGGGTTTTCATGTGGCCATGAGACCAAGTGCTCTAGAGTCCTGTTCAATGTTTATTGCGCCTCATAGAGGAGAACACCATCAGGTCACCCAAATCAAATGTCTGACATCATGAAAGTCGGTCACACTCTGCAATCACAGACCAAACCTCCTCATGCAGATCTGGCTACATTGACTCCACTGCTATTTCAGAATGTTTGCTATCTCAAAACAAGGAAATGATTTGGGAAACTATGGCCCACTGTGACAACAACAGGCAACAATTTTAAATGATAATCATGTTAGATCCTGACTGCAACTGTGACAAATTACCACAAACTGAATGGCTTCAAAACAAGTTATATTTACTTCAGTGATGAAGATCATACCAAAATGGATTGGTAGAAGGCTTTAGAAGAGAATCTGTTTGCTTGCCTTTTCTGAGCTTTTGAGGCAGCTCACATTCCTTGGTCCTTGGCTCCGTCTCACTCTGACCTCTGCTTCCGTGGTCACATCTCAGATTCTTCTACCTCCTTGTTTCCCTTAAAGGACTATCATAATTATATCAGACCCATCAGGATAATCCAGGATATTCCAAGAAAATTTCCCCATCTCAAGAAACCTAACCTAACCACATTTGCAAAGTCCCTTTTGCCACATAAGGCAATACATTTACAGGACCTAGGACTAGGATGTGAACATCTTAGCAGAAAAGAGGGTTTAGATTATTCTGTCTATTGCAATGATGAGTAAATTTATGCCAAAACAAGGAAAAATATTTTTAATACAATGATAATTGAAGCACAATACACAATTGAAATTATATGTTATCTAAAAATGTACACATGGCATAGACAATCAGGGTTTCCAATTGTGGAAAAAGTTTCATAAAAATAGCAGGATAATAAGTGCTTTTCTTCCCCTACCATTCCAACACTAGTCTATCATTCTTTTTTACTGGAGTAGAGTTGATTTACAATACTATGTTAATTTCTGGTGTATAGCAAAGTGACTCAGTTATACATACTTATACATTCTTTTTAAAAAAATTCTTTCCCATTATGGTTTATCACAGGATACTGAATATAGTTTCCTATGTTATAAAGTAGGACCTTGTGGTTTATCCATCCTATATATATTGGCTTGCATCTTCGAATCTCAAGCTCCCAATCCATCCTTCCCCCAACTTGCCCTCCCCACTGGCAACCACCAGTCTGTGAGTTTGCTTCTGTTTCCTAGATAAGTTCATTTGTGTCATATTTTAGATTTCACATTTAAGTGATATCATATGATATTTGTCTTTCTCTTTCTCACTTAATTCACTTAGTATGGCCAATTATTTTCTTTAATGGTGCATTCTGGGAGGGGGAAGATTTTCAATTTATTGAAACACACAAAGAAAGATAATAATTAAAACTGAAAACAGGAAATACGTTTCCTTTATCTCAACAAGTAAAGCAGAAGTCCCATTTTCCTTCCTCTTTCCTTCCATTTCCTTCCTTCCTAAAATGAGACTTAAATAAATGAATGAAAGCAAAACCAAGGTTAGTTTGGTCAGATAGAAGCATAGTTACCACTTCAATTCACTTTCATGATACAGTCAAGTAAACAAAGGCAGTATAGTTATTCATAATATTAAAAGAAAAATTAAAGGTGATATATGAATCTAGAAATCTAATGATACCATATCTTTAGAAATTCTGTGTTTATAATCTAAATTTAAGTGTTATCAATTTTTATAACAGCTTTCTTCACATATATTTTATGTACCATAAAATTCACACTTCAAGTAGATAATGCATGGTTTTTAGTATATTCACAAAGTTGTGCAAGCATCACCATTATCTAATTTTAGAAAATTTTCAACAGCCCCAAAAGAAACTCCATACCCATCAGCAATCTCCCCATTCCCCAATCCTCCAGCTTCTAGCAACCACTAATCTACCTTCTGTCTCCATGAATTTACCGACTGTGGCTATTTCACTTAAATGAAATCATACAACATATGGTCTTTTGTGACTGGTTTCTATTACTTAGAATAATGCTTTCAAGGTTCAACCACATTACAACATTCACCAGCATTTCATTTCTTTTTAGGTCTCATGAATACTCCATTGTATGGATACACCTCATTGTATGTATCCATTCATCAATTGACAGACATTTGGATATTCTACTATTTGCTATTTAGGCATAACACTGCTATGAACATTTGCATAGAAACAGTTTTCATTTATTTTGGGTATATACCTAGGAGTGGTTTTTCTGAGTCATATGGCAATTTTATATTTAACATTTTATAGGAACTGTCAAGTTGTTTTCCAAAGTGGCTGCACCATTTTATGCCCCCACTGGCAATATACTAAGAGTTGAATTTCTAGATAGTTTTTATTAACACTTGTTGTATGTTATTAAAATTATAATGATTCTGCTGGGCTTGAACTGGTATCACATTATGGTTTTGGTCTTCATTTCCCCAATCATAATGTTGAAATATCTCTTCATGTGATCGTTAGTCATTTGCATATCCTCTTTATCTATTCCAGTCTTCTGCTTATTTGTTAATTGAGTTATTTATCTTTTTATTGTTGAGTCTTAAGAATTCTTTGTATATCCTGGACACAAGTCCCTTATAATATGTGATTTGCAATATTTTTCCCATACTGTGGGTATGTTATTAATTTTTCTAAACCAAATACACTGTATACATGCTTATTCAAGATTATAACAATGCCAGGAAAATTAACTGTGGATATTATTTCTTTCATATTTGTATTTTTCTTTCCATTTACTTTTTTCTTTCTGAAGTTCAATATTACCATTCTAAAATTATTTAATATGTGATTGTCAAAGACAAATCTTGACACAGAATACATAGTGGAACTCCTCTCTATAAAACACTTGGCTCTTTTTATCCTGCACTGCAGTTTTCCTTTCTTTGCTTTTGTAACAAACCCCCCCCCCCAAAAAAAAGACTTTTCTAATAAATGCTCTCATTTTGTGTTTCTTACTCATAAATTGAAGATAATACCCCATCTTGTAGCTCTAGGTAGTCCCCATGGGCCGCTGCTCTCAAAATTCAGAACAACTGAGAATGAACTTCCTGCTCTATCTGCTAAAGGCTACTTTTTTCTTTTCTGCGGTCAGTAGTTGCTACTGTGCTTTTTTAAACATGAAAATCTTTCTAGGAGCCATAATCCCTAATTGTGCAGGTGATCATCTCTGAATATGCTGTCTCAAATTTTTAATTTTTATTTAAAGGATCACAAAAATAAGTGTCCAAGAATAAAATGATTACAGGTACTCTTTGTTTCTTTTTTAGATCTGCCCATTATTCTTCACTCTGTTTTTAGAAAGCTATTGTTTGCATGCATGCTCAGTTGTGTCTAATTCTTTGCAGCCCTATGGACTGTAGCCCACTGGGCTTCTCTGTCCATGGGATTTTCTAGGCAATAATACTGGAGTGGATTGACATTTCCTCTGCCAGGGGATCTTCCCAATCCAGGGATCAAACCTACGTTTCTTGCACCTCCTGCATTGCAGGTGGATTCTTTACTGCTGAGCCATCAGGGAAACCCCTCAGAAAGCTACTGACATACTATCAAATCAGTATCTTATTTCTTTCAGTAGCTTTCACTATGAAAAGATAACTATAATCGATCTTCATTCTGCTTTTAATACTTTTTTCACTCTTTGGACCTTTCTTAAAACCTAAACTGTTGGCATTTAAGGTCTTTTCTCAATACTCTTAGGAGGCATTTTGATAAAATGGTTTCCATAGCAAAATACATCCTCACTCTGAAAAGGGAGTTATTTGCATCTTCTGGTGATCATGCAGCATGCATGCAATGCTAAGTTGCTTCAGTCGTGTCAGACTCTTTGCAAGCTATGAACTATAGCTCACCAGGCTCCTCTGTCCATGGGATTCTCCAGGCAAGTCATGCAGTTTGAGGTTCTAATATTTAATAAGGCAAAGCAAGAGTCTTCTCTGTTGGAAAATTATTGTGCATGACTTAAGTTAAATTCCCCAATTGTTACCAGAGATTTTAAGGATATAATTTTAACCTCAAAGCCTGTATAGTTGATTCCATTATCATTTCTGTATATTTGACTCTCACTCATATAAAATTATCAGAAAGTTCCATTTTGGCTTATGAAATTGGTTAGTGAAATTTTCAGTGAGGTAACTAAGAGGATTACTGGACATCCACATAATGAAACATTACACAAGAGACTACTAAAAACAAATATATGCCAATAAAATGGACATCCTAGAAGAAATGAGAAATTCTTAGAAAGGTACAATCTCCCAAGACTGAACCAGGAGGAAACAGAAAATATGAACAGATCAATTACAAGTACTGAAACTGAATCTGTCACTTAAAAACTCCCAACTAACAAAAGTCCAGGACCAGATGGCTTTACAGGTGAATTTTACCCAGCATTTAGAGAAGAGTTAATGCCTATCCTTCTGAAACTATTTTTAAAAATTTCAGAAGAGAGAACACTTCTAAACTCATTACCTGACTACTGGGAAAACCATAGCTTTGACTAGACAGACTTCTGTTGGAAAAATATGTCTCTGCTTTTTAATACTAGGTTTGTCATAGCT